ATGGTTGCCATCTTCATCGTCACGAGCTGCCTGCTCCTCCTCTTCTACACGGGAGTCATTTGTAAACTGAAGGAAACTGTGCCCAGAGCTCTAATTGTAAGAAATCCAGTTTCATATACACTCTAACACCTGTGGTTTGAGAGATTTTATAATGATGTGTTTATTTCTGCTGTGAAGTTGAACATCGCCTTCATTTTCATCCATGAGCGTCTCTCACAGGACAAAGTTCAAATACTTTGAAGCTCCACAGTCGTAAAGCTCCTCCAGCATATTGTGATTTGCATTTCCACAGAAGGACCAAAGTCCTTCAAAGGTTAAGCAAATGAGTCAGCTGAGCTGAAAACTACTTCTGTTTTGCCCTGCTGCTCCATGTGTATCTTGCTTCAGTCTTAAATATGATCAACCTATCTCTAATAATCAGGTGTGTACCACAGGCCTTCAAGCTGTCTGTAGTTAAACCTTTACTTAAAAAGCATCTCTAGACCATCTCTAGATCCTTGAAAGAGTAGTTGTCAAGCAGCTAACAGATCACAGTGACTGTCCCCAGAAAACAGCTTTCGCTGATGTGTTTGTCCTGCATACTTAGACGCAGCTGTGACTCGATGATACTCAGACATCTTCAGCAGAGTTTGCCTCTGTTCCACCTTCTCAGAGCTTCTTTCTCTTCTCTTTATAGACGGCTCTAACCAAAGGCTACGTCCTGACCCCGCAGCCCACCGTCCCAGATCCCATCTCAGTTACCTCGGAGACCGGGGAGCATAACGATCACACAACATCACCTTCTGCCAACATTGACGATATCTCAGAGGACGATGAGGATGATGATGGCAACATGCACTATGTGAACAGAGCAGTGGATCTCTCCTCGGGGGAGAGCTGCTGCTGTGAGGAGCTGTCTGGCAACATGTCACCGAACAGCGAGCCAACGGCAGCACTGGACGCTGGAAGTTCAAGGTTATTTGCTAAGGTGAAGGTAACGGCGCTGCCTGCAGAGTCTGACGAAGGCCAGGTGGAGACGGAGGTGGAGGGAGCGCAGCTCTGTTTGGTGAAAGAGAGGAGTCGAAGTGGAGTCTGGGGACAAAGTCAGGACGAGGAGGTGACGAAGTCCAAAGAGGACAAGGAGGTGTGGGACATCTCCGGCAATGTCAACCTGTTCTCAGTCACCCTCGCCTCAATGGCTGCACGTGATGAAGATGAGGAGGACGTCACAGGCTTTTTGAAAGAGTCCAGCCTGGAGGGTTTACCTGCCACAGACTCACAAACTGAATCAGATCACCTGACACCTCAAGTATTCCCGACACACACAGACTGCACTGTGAGCAGATGTGAAGGCAACAGCACGGACACGCTAACTGAAGAGGAAGAGGAGGAGTTCTCGCCTTATTTGAGAAACAGATGATACTGATGTGTGCTGCTCTGAGCGTCGATGACTCGCAGGTTCTCCTCGTGTTTGTAGACCAGCTTATTATTTGGTGCTGCAGGTCAGAAGATCTGCAAATGAACCAGCCGGATTTTCTGTGTGCGACTTTTTGACTTGTTTGACTGTGAACATAAAACTGATGCTGCCAAATGGGGTCCAGACACTTTTTAATGTTGTTTGAAAATTAAACATAAGCATTTTAAGAAAATCAAAGGAAACTGTGACATTTCTCTTTCTAATGTTCTTCATTAAATATAGATTTTAATGTTTGCTTTTCTCCTGGTTTCCATTCTCTGTACTTCAAAATTAAGTTTTGGTCATCTCACGCTGGGTCTCCTCTGTCTCAGACGAACTGTTTTTGCTGCAGTGACTTTAAAACTGCTGCTTTCTGATTGGCTGCCCCTTGTAAACAGAAGCTGGCTGGAGCTTCTGAGACGACCATATAAGGGTATACCCTCCCTCTGATATAATACAGTCTCAGGTGTAGAAAAAACTGTCTGCAGAAGAGCCTTCGACTTACTTGTTCATGCATTGACCAGTGTTTCATATAAACATCCATGGCTGGAACAGAAGATACGTGAACAGAAATTAGCAGAAAAAGAATAATGTAATAATTATTACATTTTATTTTTTAATATTTAAAAAAATGAGAGTCCTTAATGATTTTTCCATGCTACCTTACATTGGTGTCATGGGTTTAAAAATTTGACTTAACTCAAAATTTTGATTTAGTAAATTGAAATTTTGACTTGCGTACCTCACAATTTTGGGATCAAACTACCAACCTTCCAATTAGCAGATGAACTGCTCTAACACCTGAGCTACAGCCACTCTGTACCCCATGCTAATATTGTTGCTAGCCAAATCATAATGCTAGTGGATTTCCAGATTACTTCAGCAGTATGACTGTTGACATTTAATAATGTAATCGAATTAAGCAAAGGTCTGCAGTGGTTTGATGCAGCAGAGTTGTAGCATGAAGGCAGTTTATTCCTACATTAGAATGTAAATGGGAACTTTGTAAGGGCAAAGATGGAGGTTAGCACAACTTCCAGAGGGTACAAAATCAGTTTAAAGGCTTATTTTGAGACAAACCTTCAAACCTTTCAATCACATTTGACTGCTGATGTTATTTGTGTGGTTTTTATGTCTCGGTGACCTCTGGAGTTACGGTTCATTTAGAGAAAAGTCACGGGTATATATCAGCTTTTTGTTTTTTAGTGAAGCAAGAACAAGGATTGATGTACACAACATGGCTACAAGATATGCACTTTCAATCAAATAAATAAAATGAGAACTTACTAAACTTCTTTGTGTTAAAAGGTTTCACTGCATTTTTGGTTTTCATAATCTTAAGGGTTTGAAAATAAGAAATTAAATCGTTATTTTATTCCACCATGGTTTGTTGTTGTGGTTATAACATGACCTGCTCGTGAAGCGCGTACACGGATATTTAAAACTAAATGTAAACCTCAAATCTAAGGAAAATAACCACAAACTATATCACATGACTTCTCAAAGCTACTGGGAGCCTGTCAGGTAAGCGTCCGCGCTTCCACAATATCACGTGATTTCCTATCACCGACTTCCCGCGGTGCTGCATTCAATACCGCCGGTCTAATGAGATCTCGTGAAGAGACGGCGTTATAAACAGTAAAGAAAAAAAATATCTATAGATATATAGATATATATTTGCTACACCCGATTTCAGGGAAGATGTGCCGTTAAATCAACTGTGACGGTATATTTTATTGCGTCTGTCCGGCTGTATTTAATGCTGTGTGTCAAACGAAGTTTACACTTTATGATTTGTCAGACTGGTCAACAACAAACTCAAACCGACCGAGTGGTAAATGTTTCTAAGTGTTGTTGCTGTGTCATTGTTGGGTGTGATGTTGCTTTGATCAAAGGAACGACACAGGAGCAGGAGAGAGTTCGGGATTACCGGAGGTCCGTGAAGGCAGCGGGGCGGCAGCAGAGTGTTTCGGTCCTGTGACAGCGCTAACGGAAGCCTATCGGGACGCTCACCGGGACAGGTAACACGCACGGACTCATTGATCGGTTACTACCAGCCTGGAGCTTTGATCTTTT